GAGGGCAAGTAGGTGCATTCTTATCATCTCTTAACTTATAATGGACTCAATCATTTACCAATTTTGTTCTATAGTTTTCATTCTCAAAACCATTTTCTGTGGTATCAATAACGGGAGCAAACAAGCAATGAATAGTTCTGTCTTCTGTCTGCAATTTATTCCTCTTAAACAGCAATCTTGTGCCTTATTTGATCTTTCTCTTGTACTTAATATAATTTTTAAAAATCCTTTTTGTGGTCCTTAGTATTTTTTGCCAACCTAAGTTAATTCTGGACTTCAGCATCTCTTACATTCTAATATTGGGCCATTTTTTTCCCTTTTGCTTCTACCTTCTATATGTAGCCTTTTAAAATCCAAGTGGGTTGATGAGTGCCCATTGTACCTACATAGGTGTCTTTAGGAAGCTTCCCCTCTTTATTGCTTATTATAGCAATTTCTGTTTATGCCACAGGAATTTTATTCTTCAGAGCATCCAATCTTTTGGAATTGACTTCCCATGAAGAATTTCAGACCATGGCATTCTACCTGTTCTTTCCCTGAACTCGTTGAAATTTGTCATCTCCAGATCCAGTATATATGTCAGATTATGCATAGCCTTCCCTTCTTTATCATGAACTATAAGATTCTGTGGTCACCTCCTCCTAAGAATCCTTCTATTTTTACTTTGGCAACCAGTTCCTTCACTGTGGTCAACGTCAGGTTCAGAATAATTATTCTCCTCATGGCTTGCTCTAGCTTTTGAATAATGAAACAATCATTAAGACAAGTCAAAAATTTATCAGCTGCTCTTTTTATTTTTAGAATTTTGATCTGTAATTAGCAAGCCATTTACGGGCATGTAGTCAGTTTCTGTAGGCGAAAAATGGGAATAAGAACACTACCTACCTTACCCAGATGTAGTTAAAAGAATGTTTTCTCAGCTTTAAACTTTCATATAAATATGAACTATTGTGTTTTTTCCCCTGAAGGTGCTGTGTGTGTATGTTGTGTTCATATCTCATTCCTGCTAAATCAATCTTATTTTGTTAAAAATAAAACACATTTTCTTAGGTCTCTTACAAATGGATCACTCACCATATTACTTCTTAGTTCATATGCAGAACTCCAAATACTGTATATCTCAGAGTATAAATCACTTTGATATATCAGTCAGCCTAAAATTTCCTCTTTTGAAATTCAGCATTTGATCTACACTTAATTCTGCAGTAGAGGGACCCTCAACAGTAGGATAACTATGGTACTATTGAGATTCCTGTTGCTTTACATGTGACTCAGCAGCTGGCCAGAAAAAGCTCTATTGGCCATAATAAGGATGCTGTATATCTGCATAGCACTTTGTAGTTTCATATGGGTTATCTCATTTGACCTTCACAATAACCTTGTGATAGGCAGGGCAGGTATCATAATCTTCCTTCTAAGGTGAAAACCAAAGCCCAGAAAGATGCCTAAGGTCACATGAGAATAGAATCCAGGTCTTTTCTCCCCTACTCCAGTACTTTGTTTCCATAACCGCTTCCTGGATGGAACTGTCTAAAAGTGAGAGTGAGGCAGAGTCATCTCCTCCTATGCCCACTACATTGTCAACTCCAATTTAAGAGAAGCTTTAAAAAAATCTTATGAGATTCAATTCAGTTATTAACTATCTGCTATATAGAAAGCATTGTGGTAGGTGCTGAGCATGCAGAGAGAAAATAAAAGGTTGACTTATAATCTTTGATGTATGAGAACATTCATGGATGCTACATATTGCAAATCAAAAACAGAATAGGCATTGCTTTTCCTGTTGTCCTGTAAATGAAGCTGTCATTTTCTTACTCTCCTGAGGACCAAAGGTCATCCACTGCACTCCCATCTCTCACCTCCTAACCTCCATTCACTCATACTTCTCTTGACATTAATGGGAGTTGTAGGCACGTGGTGAGGATGGAACCCTGTGGCTGGCATTTTGGAGTCAAGCTGGAGAAGGGTAGCACTATTTCCAGCTGGACATCTTTTAGGCAGCTGTCAAACAGACTTTCTTTATGTTTGCATGTGCTGTCTTTGAGAGTCAAGCCCTGCCCACCCCAGCCACATTTAGAGGCTGCCAAATATAAAGTGGCTTTGCCAGGCAGAAAGGGATGTACCTTGGTTATGGGGTAAAATCTTGGAATTTTAGGGCTGAAAAGGACCCTAGAAATCATCTAGGCCTCACTGCCCAGTGCAGTGAGGGCTCTGTGAAAAGTAGGCATTCAATAAATATTTGATAATGATGTGAAGATGCTCTTGTCTGTCATATCTCAGATTCTGCAGATGGGGAACGAAGTAAGGCTCAGTAAAATTAAATGACTTAACCAAGGTAAAACAGAAAGAGTACTGGATTTGGAATGAGAAAATACGGGTTTGAGTCCCTTAGCTCCGACACTTAAGAGTTGTGTCACCTTGGGCAAGTCATTTAAATTCTCTGGGCCTCATCTTCCTCCTCTGGAAAATGAGAGGGTTGAGCCAGATAATCTCTAAGGATTCTTTTTCTCAGAAATACCAGTAAGAAGCATTATCATCATCATCTAGTGCTTTAAGATATGTAAACCAAAAAAAAGTCTACATGGGTTATCTCATTTGATCCTCACAACAATCTTGCAGGGTAGGTTCTCATTTTACAAATAAGGAAACTGAGGTGGAGAGAAGTTAAGTGACTTGCCCAGGGTCACATATTTATGTATCTGAGGTGGGATTTGAAATTAGGTCTTCCTGCCTTCAAGTCCACCACCACTGACTATGCACCTAGCTGCCATGGCATCAGCATTTGAATCCAGGTTCTCGAACTAAAAATCTAATGATGTTTTCAAACTCAGATTTTCTCTTCAAAGGGAAAACAGAGTATTAGTGAAGTGGTTTCTTTCTTTTTCCTCTACTCCAATCTCCCTCCCCCTTTAGGGCTCTGTCTCCAGCATTTGCTGTACCTTTTCTCATCCTCAAATCACATTCAAATATTCAATAATATTCTCACAACTGTGTTCCTTTCTGGTCCAACACTTCTCTAGTTCTTGACCCTGAGGACCCTGGGTGTTCCAGCAATAGTGAATGATTTTTGTTAACATTGCTCTGTAGGTAGCAGTGATCAATAGATGTCACTGACTTTCTCCTGTGAGAGATGCTGAAAGCTATCAGGTGCAACGGGTCCCATTTTACATGTAAAGGAGGACATTGACTTGCCCACAAAACATGGATCAGAGATTTTGAGTCCTACATGGTGAAATTCATTTTTCTCTTTTAACAGGAGGAACCAAGGCCCAGAGAAGTAAAACAATTTGTCTGAAGCCCTGCAACTAACTGAGATGCAAGATTTGAATGCAGTTCTTCTGAGATCAAATCCAGGAATACTTGATCACATGAAGTAGATTCATAGTTAGAAAGAGAAAGTCAGGAAAGCTATCCACCTACTCTTTCCATATTAAAGCTGCATAAAGACCTATGCAATTCAATCTTTATCTCTCCAGCCTGGGGAATATATATCCCAGGGAAATCATTCCTTCTAGTCACCTTCAGACATTAATTCAAAGAGAAAAAACTGGGTTCTTGCTAAAGATCTCTCTCACTTCTCTCAGGTGGCCTTACTTGCCCAGGGAGTATTCCTAGGATCCCGCAAGTTCAAAATTGAATAACAGGACCCTGAGAAAACACCTGTTTTGACCATACCTCGGGGAGGTTGATGGTTACAGGAAAAAGTCAGGAACTAATAAAGTTACTGGTCCATCTGTACAGAACAGGGGCAACAGCTCTGTTTGTAAAGAAGCTGGATGGAGGGAGTGGTTCATGTAGATTAATGAATTCATTTTGGAGGCCTAGCAATACTAATATTATCATCATTATTCTTGGAGCTTTAAGAGGGACCGAATCTGAACCCACATATGGAAAGTAGCATGCGGCATCCAAGAACACTGGGGCAAACAGTTGCTATGGAGTTTTTTTATTCTGGATTATTCACAACACCTACAGTCGAAGCTATATTCAGGGAGTTTAGCACCAGATTGAGTACTGCAGACACTGCCTTGACATTCAGGGAAGAGCTTCTATTTCTGGACGACTAGTGGATGGCTCTAGGTAGCTGCATAATCCCATGGTCTCAGAAAAGGACGTTTTCATTCTACAGAATTCTAGAATCTAGAGTCAGAAGGCTCCTTAGAAATCTCTCCCACCCTTGACCTGCAGCCTAAATGTTCATTTCTTCTTTGCATTTTTATCTCCTACACGTCTGTCTTCTCTTTATATAATGTTTCTCTTTCCCCGAAACGTCTATGAAGCTTCGGAGACAAAAGTCATAGGTTTGCATTTGACATCTACTCTTTGGGTGTCGTTTAGTTTAAAACGCCAAGGCCTTCTGGCATTTGACAATGCTGTGGTTCCCAAAGTGAGGGAAAAACGTAATTGGGACTGCTTGAGAGGAAAGTGAACTTGAGACGACAGCTGGGGTTAAATACAGCAAGTGTCAGGGTTTCCTAACCAGAACCAGAATGTGGAGCGCGTAGCTATCTTTGAGAGTTTCAGGTTCTGACAACAGAAAGCTACAGTAATTATAAAATCCAGGTTGTTTTCCACCCAGTTATGAACTCTATGCCTTGGGTGGGATCCTGAGTCAGAGACAGATCCCAGACGTTCTCCTGGTCAAGGACCGAGCGCGGGGTGGGAAGGTAGGGGTGAGTAGAGAAAAAAAATCTTGAAAGGGAGGGACCCTGCAGAGAAGAGGAGAGCAAGGGGGAGAAGGGAGGAGGAGAGGAGGGAGAGGAGGATTTAAAGCTCAAGGGTCAGACACTGAAACTTCCCTCTGGCTCGGCGCACGGGGAGGAGGGAAGCAGGGAGCGAGGCGTTGCAGTGGAGGTGGGACGAGAAAGAGCGAAGACTTTCTGGGGGTGCTCCTCTGGACCGACGCAGAGGCTTCAGTATCAAGAGCGGGAGGAGGCGGGGGAAGGGGGAGGGGGAGGAAGAAGGAGGAGGAGGAAGGAGGCGTGGAGGAGGAGCCGCCGCCTCCGCGTCAGAGGAGCCTCGCGCTACCCAATGGCTCAGACTCCGGAGTGAGCTGCGAACAGAAGAGCGAAGCCGCGGACAAACGCCGGGGCTGATTTGGAAGCTTTTCATTCTGGGCTGTGCAGGCCAGACGCAACCATGTCGGAGAAGGAAGCCGGGAGCGATGCGGCGTCCAGAGGTGAGCTCGCTCGTTCGCTCGCTTACTTGGCCAGGCAGGGAACGGGGACGGGTAATCTCACCTAGGCTAGCGCTGCCGCAAGGGCACGGGTGGGTGGGAGGGAGGAACGGAGGGGAGCAGCCAGCGGCCGGCCAGCCCTTAGGGGCGTAGTGGGTGGAGCTGGAGAATTGTCAGCATCCCCTTTGGGCTGGAGGCCCCCAGCGTCCGCCCTCCAGGATGTACCCCCTCTCCCCCGTCCTCCTGGTCTCCATCCTTCTATCCAGGTTGAAGGCTTGGAGATAGGGTGGATGGGGATGGGGGGAGCAGCCTAGCTCTAATTCAGGCTGGGGTCCCTGCTAGCGTGGGAAAATGGAACATCCCCCGTTATCCTCCCTCTCTGTCCTGCCAGTTCCCCTGGGCTCTTCCTGGACCCTTGAGGTGGGAGGCGCAGGGAAGGGAGACGCTCGGGCCAGTCTTTGGGTTCTCCAAGCTTTGGGGCTGGGACGGGGGAGCCCGGAGCTGGGAAGCAGAAGCTAGATCTGTCAGGAGTCCCGGCTTGTCACGTGCTCCCTTCCCTTCGGAGGAGACTCTGCAGCAGGGACCGCAGTCCCCCACCCCGCCCCCCTCCTCCCACGCGAGAGCCCAGGGGCTTCCTCGCCATGCGCTTCTCCTCCCTGCCCCTGGCTGCTCCACTCTGCTTTTCCTGACGCCACCGGATTGCACACAGCACATGCGACTCCCAAAGGGAGGCAATGCAGCAGATGCGAAGTGATCCAGGTTGGGGAAAAAAAATTAGGAAGATCCCTCGCACAGTCCCTCACCCCTAAGTCCATTTTGTTCCCACGAGTCCTCCCTGGGTGGGGGCTCGATACCTCTCTGTACACTGGCTCGAATAACCAACCTTTCCCCTACTAGGTGATTTCAGTGGTCCAAGGCAGGTTTCTTATGCACCCTTCACCCACCTTCACCCCCACCCACCCGCACCTCTGGACTCATTAGCCTCCCTGAAGCCATGGGAAGTGTCTAAGGAATTTGCTGGAGAAAAAAAAAACTTATAGTCTCTCCCAGGCATAAAAAGCAGATTGTAGCAAAGTCTAGTTACCCTCAGCCACACATTTTTCTCCAGACTCATCTTTCAGAAGATTAAAAAAGGAGGAGAGAAGGTAGTGCAGAAAGAGGACAGGGTCAAGAAACGTTAGAGGTCTGAATAGTGAAAGAAAAAGTGATTACCCTACATCCCTTTTCATTTCTAACACTTTCCTTCCTTTCCTTTCTCTTTGCCTCACTCTATCTTCCCTCCTCCCTCCATCCTCCCCCGTACCTGTACACTTTGAGTGTACCAGAGGTCTGTCTCCAGATAGGTCTGATCTATTCTGGATGGTTCAGAGATTGTTGCAATGAAGACCCTTTCCTAAATAGTGCTCTAGGTGTGTGTGGTGGGGGAGAGGAGTCCTTGGGGTGGGGGTGGGGCTGTCACTTGTATGTAGCTGGATGCTGGAGGGAACAAAGTGGTTGCTGGACTGCAGTGCTCATTCAGCAAAAGAGGCAGATGGCTTCCATTTTAAAATGATGATATACAGTGGCAGAGATCTCTTCAAATAGTAGATAGAGAGCTAGCCTTAAAGCCAGAAAGAGCTGGATTCAAGGCTCCTGTCTGACACATACTGGCTGTGTTACATTGGACATGTTACTTAGCCTCTCAGAGCTCGCTCAAGATTAAAAATTGCACTGAAGGTGCTCACTTGCATTGGTAAAGGGAGTTCCCTTACCCAGGAGTTCTCTGTAACAATAAGATTTCACAAGTCCCTGTCCCTTAATGAAGAGCACATCTTATTGGGGAGAGTGATCAAAATTGGGGGTTTGGTGGAATATAGAAGCATCTTTTTTTTTAAAACTTACTGTATTCAAAGTGAAAAGTCTTACTTTTTGGAAAGAGTTGGGCAGGGACTAGGATTGGATGCAAATGTATGTGAATGTATTTTTTAAACAGTTTTCAAATGAAGAAACTTCATTGCATGCTTGTCTCTTCTGACTTGACAGAGCTACCAAAATGCAAAGTGACCGACAGTTTTCTTTTTTTTAAAGGGGAGGAAAAAAAAGCAAAACTATCCAGACGCCTCATGGATGGGATAGTGTGTATTTTTATGCAGTTAATTACAAATGTATTACTTTGTAATGATGAAATTAAATGACTATGATTTAAAGAAAATCCAACTAGGAAGTGGTTTTACTTTAAAAGGACGAATGATACCAGTGAAATGACAAATCTCTCAAACTCTCAAATGCTGTCATCTTTCCTATTCTCTCAAGAGCACTCAATCTGTCAGAGAAATAGGAGGCTGAAGGAAATAGATTAATATCCTGGCTTAATGATTGGTTAACAGCAGAGAACACCTTCAATCTATAAATAAAACCTCATGGCAGGCACAAGCTAGCTCACACCTGCCACCCCCAGCCCATTGTTCCTGCAGATGGAAGAGGCAGCACAGCATTGCAGTAGCTGACATGGTAGGAATGGGAGGATCCCAACACCAACTCTGATGAGAAATGGTTTGCATAGAGCAGACTGGGATTTGGTCTGAAGAAGAAACAGCCCAGGAAAACATTTCTTTGCACAGACTGAGTGCTTGTTGCATTGAATTTAGGCAACCCAAAGTGAGTTCCCCAGGGAGTCTTATTACTCTATTTATTCTTCAACCCCAGGTTCAACTAGAAAGTAAGATAGTTGAGTCAATCTACCAAGTTGTGCTTGTCTGAACACCACTAAAGAATTAGTTTGGCAAATTCTCCCTCGACTTCCTTTTGACCAAATGAACTGTTTTTTAGGAGGTTGCATACATACAACCTGAATTTTAACTAAAAAGTTTTCTGCCTTGTCTATAGGCTTCCTTTACAAAAGATGAATATTATAAAGACACTGAAAAATATAAAAGTTAAGATATGCACATAATGATATATAGCCATTATTTCCCCTTGCTTATAATTTTGTAATGAGCAACACAAATTTCATCCATTTTAGAACTCATGTTATCTTATCTGACTGCCTTTAAGGTCTTCAAATCATAAATCTTAGGCTCATAGATCAAGAAAGGATCTCTGAGGCTATTTAGTTAAACCCCCTTATTTTAAAGATTAGGAAACTGAGGCCCAGGAATGGTGACTTGTCCAACATCATACAGGTGGCAAGCATCAGTGGTGGAATTTGAATCCAGATCTTCTTGACTCCAAAGCCAGTATTCTTTCTGCTGGACTAGAGTCAGGAGACGTATATGTCAGAATAAACATAATACCCCCCTAAGCATTTTTTCATATTGTTTAATATCCAGTGGTATTCAAGGAAACTCCTTCCCAAAAGTATCATTTATTGGCTAATCTGATTTCCTAGCACTCTGTGCTCCTTGTATGAACTTCATCCTATTTCAGTTTGTTGAAGTTATTTATGTCTATGATTTCTTTTCTACTAGATTGTAAGTGCCTTAAGGACAGCCTCATGTATTTTTGTATTCCCCCTCAGTACATAGCTCAGTGAGTTCATAGTAAATACTTAAATGCTTATTGAATGAATAGATGAATGTTTGGATGAAACACTGGGTGCTAGAGAAAGGAGCTGGCCATGAACAGAGAAAATGGCTTATAAGATGGCTCTTACAAACCTGGCATCAAGCTGGTATTAGTAATAATGACTTTTAGATTAGAGGCTGTTATGTAACTAGGGCTAGGGTTGAGGGGGTTAAATGGAAGGGGCGGAAAGATAACTATAAATTTTGAGGGCAACAGAAGGGTGAGTTTTCTAGGCAAGGGGTTGGTTCTTCAATGGTAGGTTGAAGTTGGGAGGGAAAGGAAGGGAGATGGGAAAAACCAGGACAATGAGGGAACAAACTGAGTTTGCCTAGGAAAGGGTTGTGCTAAGTGTTGTGAAGAGAATGTAAGCCAACTAAATATTGGATGAGGGATCACACCTCTTCTTCATGTCAATTCAAGTCAACAATGGAAGCAGAAGGGTTACTAAAACTACCCAAATATTGCTAATTATGCCTCTGGTTGTAGGTGTCTGTCTACTCCCTGCCAACCTGTAGCTTAGTTATGTCATTTAGACTTAGAAATATCCAAGGAAACTGGTTTTAGAACTGAGAAATCCAGTTTCCCTTGTATCTTCTGTTCCCACAGTCTATGTTCAATTAGTCAACAAATTTTATTGAGTACTACTGCTACAGAACACTCTTATGCACTTTGAGGGATACAATGCTAAATTAGGAGTCCTTGTCATCAAGGAATCTACAGAATAGTTGGGGAGGACCATACACCCTACTTTGAAAAGTTGAGCAATAATTCAAGGAAATATCTGAGATGTACGCAGTGAATAGTTTTTAGAGAAGGAAAGTATTGTTCTGGCCAGGTTGGGTATATTTAGAATCATTGATTTAGAACAAGAAGAGACTTTAGGGATCACCCAGAATAACCCACTATTTAACAGATGAATAAACTAAGCCTTGGGACTTGTCCCAAGGTCACATAGGCAGGAAGTTGCAGAATTAGGATACAAATTTAGGTTCCCTGAATTCAGTTCCAGTGTTCTTTCTAATTCACAGAGAAGGTGTAATTTGAACTGAGATTTAAAGACATGAGAAGGTTTGAATTGGGAATAGTGAGGGAAGATGGACATTTTAGATAGTGGAAACAACATGATCATTGGAGTTGAGGATGAGCAAAACACAGTCTAGGGAAAGTGGATTCAACTGCCTTACTGGAGTAAAGGGTCCATGCAGGATGGTAGTTGAAGATAAGGTTAGAAAAATAGATGATGGTGCTCTTGAAAATCAGAAATAGGAGTCTAGACTATATCCTGCAGTCATTGGGCAGCCATTGAAGGTTGCTATGCAAAGAAGTGACATGATGTAAGCAATATTTTAGGAAGCTTATTTAGTGATGGTGTGTAGGGGAAGGAGTCAGAGCATCTAGTTAGGAGTCTTCTCTGGGTGTAAGATTAAGAGCTTAGATGAAGATGAAGTGAGAATGAAAAG